TACATACAGACCTCTCCCCCATTAGTGACACTCAGCGATCACTGGATGCTGGCGGGGAATTTTCGGCCAGGACCTGGTGATCAACAGGTGAAGCCTCCAATGGTGGCTCGAGTAGGGCATGCGCACATCCCCTACCCGGAAATACAAAATCACGTATATATACATGATTTTGTGCAGCCCTGCCACTCTGTAGCAGTATTTCTGCTACAGTGGGGATCGAAAGTTTGGGCACCCCAGCTAAAAATTTGTATTAATGTGCATAAAGAAGCCAAGGAAAGATGGAAAAATCTCCAAAAGGCATCAAATTACAGATTAGACATTCTTATAATATGTCAACAAAAGTTAGATTTTATTTCCATCATTTACACTTTCAAAATAACAGAAAACAAAAAAATGGCATCTGCAAAAGTTTGGGCACCCTGCAGAATTTATAGCATGCACTGCCCCCTTTGCAAAGCTGAGACCTGCCAGTGTCATGGATTGTTCTCAATCATCGTCTGGGAAGACCAGGTGATGTCAATCTCAAAGGCTTTAAATGCCCAGACTCATCTGACCTTGCCCCAACAATCAGCGCCATGGGTTCTTCTAAGCAGTTGTCTAGAAAACTGAACCTGAAAATAGTTGACGCTCACAAAGCTGGAGAAGGCTATAAGAAGATAGCAAAGCGTTTTCAGATGTCAATATCCTCTGTTCGGAATGTAATTAAGAAATGGCAGTCATCAGGAACAGTGGAAGTTAAAGCAAGATCTGGAAGACCAAGAAAAATATCAGACAGAACAGCTCGCAGGATTGTGAGAAAAACTATTCAAAACCAACGTTTGACTGCACAATCCCTCCAGAAAGATCTGGCAGACACTGGAGTTGTGGTACACTATTCCACTATAAAGAGATACTTGTACAAATATGGTCTTCATGGAAGAGTCATCAGAAGAAAACCTCTTCTACGTCCTCACCACAAAAATCATCGTTTGAACTTTGCAAATGAACATATAGACAAGTCTGATGCATTTTGGAAACAAGTTCTGTGGACCGATGAGGTTAAAATTGAACTTTTTGGCCGGAATGAGCAAAGGTACGTTTGGAGAAGAAGGGGCACAGAATTTAATGAAAAGAACCTCTGTCCAACTGTTAAGCATGGGGTTGGATCAATCATGCTTTGGGGTTGTGTTGCAGCCAGTGGCACAGGGAACATCTCACGAGTAAAAGGAAAAATGGATTCAATAAAATTTCAGCAAATTTTGGATGGTAACTTGATGCCATCTGTGAAAAAGCTGAAGTTAAAGAGAGGATGGCTTCTACAAATGGATAATGATCCTAAACACACCTCGAAATCCACGGGGGATTACATCAAGAGGCGTAAACTGAAGGTTTTGCCATGGCCTTCACAATCTCCTGACCTCAACATAATTGAAAATCTATGGATAGACCTTAAAAGAGCAGTGCGTGATAGCCAGCCCAGAAATCTCAAAGACTTTTGTAAGGAAGAATGGGCAAAGATACCTCAAACAAGAATTGAAAGACTCTTGGCTGGCTACAAAAAGCGTTTACAAGCTGTGATACTTGCCAAAGGGGGCAGTACAAGATATTAACTCTGCAGGGTGCCCAAACTTTTGCGGACGCCATTTTTTTGTTTTCTGTTATTTTGAAAGTGTAAATGATGGAAATAAAATCTAACTTTTGTTGACATATTATCAGAATGTCTAATCTGTAATTTGATGCCTTTTGGAGATTTTTCCATCTTTCCTTGGCTTCTTTATGCACATTAATACAAATTTTTAGCTGGGGTGCCCAAACTTTCGATCCCCACTGTATAGGGTGACGGGCAAGTGGTTACAGTGATTCTAAAGGCTTATTTTTTTAAAAGAAAAAAATAACAAACATGTCTATACTTACCTGTTGTGTGCAGTGGTTTTGCACAGAACAGCCTGGATCCTCCTCTTCACAGGTCCCCTGCCGGCGCTCCAAGCCCCTCCCTCCTGTCAGCTGCCCCACAGCAAGCAGCTTGCTATGGGGGCACCCACTGCTCCATGTGTCTATTCACACACATAGCCATGGCTTGCCCATGTCCCCTCTCTCTTCTCATTGACTCACTGGCTGTGATTGACCGCAGTGAGAGGCAATGGCTCCTGATTCTGTCTCAGCCAATGAGAAGAGGGAGTCCCAGGATAGCCAAGCCTCCAATGCATATTGCTGGATCGAGAGGGTGCTTTGGTGAGTATTGGGGGACTTGGGGGGATGCTGTACAGAGAAGATTTTTACCTTCGTCGTTCATAGAATGCATGAAAGTAAAAAACCTTCAGCCTTTAGAACCACTGTAACTTGTAAAAATTGCAATGAGATTACCACTGTAAGGTACATAGCCTGCATAACTTTTACAGGGAGATGAGCTGAAAATAGAACCTGGCAGGTCCTCCCACTACAGCCCCCCTGCAGAAAACTACAGGGGAGAGTATGCAACCAGTCACTGTGCACAAAGAAAGATAGCAGCAGTCACAGCAGGAAGGTCCAGCACAAAAGAAAAGTTTCATGCTGGATTGCTGCAAAGGACTGGAAGGAAGGATGTAGTAGCAGCAAATATGCTACCTGCTATACAGTATACAGAGACAGGCACTCTGCCTACCTCTGTATGCCAGCTTAGAGTTAGTCTCTATTACCGACATTTTCATTATCTATGAATTACAGTTAATTGCTTTTGAATTTGGTGCTGTAGTAATGCCCCTTTATAAAGGTGGTGCTATTAAAAAATACCTGAACTTTCTGTGTCTGTAAAACTATGGGTGGCAGGGATATTAAATCTGGTGCAAGCCAGTTTGAAGGGCCACACCACCAGAAAAGTGTCACTAGAATTTTTTTAATTCCACTGAATGTGCATGAGCATTTTTAAGGAAAACCTTTCACAAAGCTGGACGAATTTAAAGAGCATATGAGGAAAAAAGGTAAGGACATTTTACATTCAGTGAAAAGTTCTCATCAAAGCAGTCAGCAGATATAACCAGATCAAACAGATATAGGCAGCTGACTTTATATGAAAACCTGTGTTCAAGTTTCAAGTATTTGCTTTCACTTCAGTGGGCATTTCTCAAAACTATGGGGGAGATTTAGAATCTGAGGCAACTGTACATGGTAGCCATTCAGCTTTTAACTTCAGCTTGTTCAATGAAGCTTTGACAATAAAACCTGGAAGGTGATTGGTTTCTATGCAGAGTTGCACAAGATTTTACACTCTCCAGTTTTAATAAATCTCCCCCATGTTGTGCAATAAAATAGAAACATCTTAGGTATATACAGTACATACCCAAAACCACTCCTTTAAAACTGTTTCTATTTTATATGACTATAAGCAGACACACACAATTTTAGTAAAGTAGCTCAAATTTTGTCAGATTTACAATTAGACATTTATTATTATTTACTTATAGATAATTTAAATAGGTATTTGTTTCATGGCAGGAAATCTTGACAGGAAGAATGGGTTGACAATGACAGATGAGATGCCAAGACAGCATGCGGAATAACTGTATCTATAGAAGCGAGATCAAACTGTGGAAGACAGCTTGGCATTTAAATACAGCTTGTATCTCTGTGTGTGTAGGATAAACAGTGATTCTGAAAATTCAGATGAAACTGAAGCAAGTAAAATCAGTGCTGTTAGAGTGAACTAAAGTAACGTGAAAATGCTTTGATTGCAAATATATTATTAGTATTAGTAGTAGTAGTAGTAACAACAAAAAGAGAGGAAGGCGCCTCTAAGTGCAGTATTGACAATTTATTCAGTAAACAATGGAAAATTTGCACTTACAAGATAAACGGTTAAAAAGGCTCATCGTGTGGTAATTAGATCCAGGTGGGACATCCAGCCGTCCAGCAGCAAACTATGCCTATAGGATCAGGAAGTAGAGACCAGGATGTGCCTGTGCATCAAAAATGAAGCTTGGAGAGCAGAGTCAGATGTAGCACGTGAAGGGGGCTGTAATGCATTTTGGAGCATGCTCAACAGAGGTCTGAAGAAGGAGCCTATTGAGCATGCTCCAAAATGCAAGTTGAGATTGACCGTGCTATTTCCCATCATTAGGTCCCATGTCGTGTCATTTAACTTTCAAATGGTAGGAACTCTAATATCCCCTGAAGCTTTGCAATTTGTTATTTCTGATTTGGTTGGAAGTCAAGGCCATGTAGAGGGCTAGAAATCAATGAATTCCACAGGGGCACAGGAATAAATTTTAAAACCTAAAACTGGATATAGACAAATCAGTTTTTGTTCAATCAACTGGTTGAACATATTCAAGGTTGATGGGCGAATCCTCCCCACTATGTCTTTGTATTTTGACAGCAGGGAGAATTCCCCACCTCTAGTTTACATAGATCAGTGCTGCAGTCTATAGCTTGCAGTGCTGATCAATTGGATAAAATCTAACAGGGCAGTTGAATAGAAGTCGATCAGTGGATCAACTTCTGTTCAACCTCAGTGACCATACATGACTGAAATTTAGCTGGTCCCTGCTGAATCGGCAGAATTTCAATCTATGTATGGCCAGCTTAACACAAGTACTTACATGCAACCCAAAGCGTTTGCAAAGGGTTAGCACCTCTCTCACTTTTACATTTCTTTGGGATAGTTAAGGTAAACTCAGTAAATCACACATGTAGCTATTTGGGTGATATCACAATTTTTTCAATCACTCTAAAGTTAACATCTGCATTGACCTTTTTTGGTGTTAATTCATAAAAATGGGAAAAAATAAGAACAGAAGAGATTTTTATTTGCCAAACAAAATTCTTGTTTAATCATTTTACCTCATGGCTAAGATACCGTATTTTTCGCTCCATAAGACGCACTTTTTTCCCCCCAAAAAAGGGGGGAAAATGTCAGTGCGTCTTATGGAGCGAATATAAAGCGGCCGGTCCGGTATTTCTGCCGCCACCATGTCATAATACTGGGCCGGCCGCTCAGCTGTTCTCTCCCGCAGGGCCTTACCTGTTCCTCGCTCCAGCGCTGCACAGTCTTCCCGCGCTGGCTTCTGTGACAGCCGGGTGCCCACTGCGCATGTGCTGCACTTTGTGAATGATCCGGTGTCTTCTGGGACACATGACAGGTCCCAGAAGGCGCCGGGCCATTCACAAAGTGCAGCGCTTCTCGCGCATGCGCAGTGGGCAGTGTCACAGAAAGCCGGCCCGGGAAGAAGAGAGAAGGACAACTCCACAGAAGTGGGAGCGGGTACCTGTCAAATTCAGGTACCCGCTCCCCCTCCCTCCCCAAAGGTCAGCAGTCTCTGGTCATTCCCTGCACTGTCTGCAGTCTCTGGTCATCCCCTGCACTGTCTGCAGTCTCTGGTCATGCCCTGCACTGTCTGAAGTCTCTGGTCATCCCCTGCACTGTCTGCAGTCTCTGGTCATCCCCTGCACTGTCTGCAGTCTCCGGTCATTCCCTGCACTGTCTGCAGTCTCTGGTCATTCCCTGCACTGTCTGCAGTCTCTGGTCATCCCCTGCACTGTCTGCAGTCTCTGGTCATTCCCTGCACTGTCTGCAGTCTCTGGTCATCCCCTGCACTGTGTCCACAGTCTCTGGTCATCCCCTGCACTGTGTCCGCAGTCTCTGGTCATCCCCTGCACTGTGTCCGCAGTCTCTGGTCATCTCCTGCACTGTGTCCGCATTCTCTGGTCATCTCCTGTACTGTGTCCGCAGTCTCTGGTCATCTCCTGTACTGTGTCCGCAGTCTCTGGTCATCTCCTGTACTGTGTCCGCAGTCTCTGGTCATCTCCTGCACTGTGTCCGCAGTCTCTGGTCATCCCCTGTACTGTGTCTGCAGTCCATTGGTTCAGAATATTTTTTTTTTTTTTTTCGCCTCTAAAACCTAGGTGCGTCTTATGGTCAGGTGCGTCTTATGGAGCGAAAAATACGGTACATCTCTTTCACCCAGGTTCTGGCTTACATGTTAGCTCTTGCATCTTGCATCTGAGACATGGAGCTACACAAGTCTTCATATTCAGCGATTAACCTAGCCTATTTAATATCTACTGTATAAATCTAAATATTTTTAATCTGACCAGGTAATTGGGTTATAACAGGTATACTACTATAACCTACTGATAAGAAAGGAATCCATATAATTATTCAGGAAAAGTAATGCACCTATGGTGCTAATTTGTTTAAAACAGTGAAGTGACAAATATAGATTTCTAGCCAGACAGACATTGCACTTAGAGCCTCCATTTTCATAATTCTACCTCCACTCTACTATTAAAACCTAAGTCTAAATAACACAATATAAATTCTAATAAGCACCAGAGTTAGATCCATTGCTTTCAGTAATCTGCACTCAGTGACAGACATGGTAAGACACATCCCCTCTCTTCCTTCTCTAATACAAGTCTGTTAGGATGTTTGTGATGACGGGTATGACGACATTTATTTTGTTCATGTCTAAGCCATTTTGTCATGAAAGGAGGTACCTTGCCCCTCCCATGTCTTCCAATTCATGCAATACATAAACTGTTAGCCATGCCATAACTTTCTTTTTAGATCCTTGAGAGGAAAAAATGCAAATCCTTTTGTGCCTATTACCCGAATCCACATTTCTGTCTAGAAACTCTAATAAAAATGTCTGACTCAACAAGCCTGAGTACCTCGAGTTTTAACAGATACGCTGTCGTAATTAGCTCAGTTCAGAGGGAGTAGCCAATACACAGCCCTGATTAACTGGTTATTAGAAAAGACTTATAACACAGTATATGTCATAACTCATGAAATAATAACAGCACAGTTATTAAGGACATATTTACTTACTCAGTTCATTTGTAATTTTTTAAGTTCAAACACCCCTGTCAGAACACATGGGGTACCAATGGAACCCATTATCCCTTCTAGGTAAAGTAGACATCTGAAAGCTCTCATATTTATATTCATTCTGAAGCTAATTTCATGCTGGACAAAAATTTGCACATTAGCAGACCATAACCTGTAGGTATTAAGGGATATTAATATCTGTATCTGGGACTTGGTCCACCCACCCCCCTTTATGGGAAGAAAAGTGGAATGCAGCCACATTTTGGGAGCTCTCATGTACCATCAAGCAAATGAAGACTGTCAAGTTATGAGAGCCAATATGTCACCTTGCTCATGAACAGGAAGTCTGCTGAAAGAAGGGTTTGCAATTATTCTTCATTTTTACACCCCTTTATCTTTCTGTTGCTTGTTGTCTCTTTATTTCTTTGTAATATCTTTTTTCAAAAATATTTTATTTTGCACCATATGTGTACCTTTTCATTATTAAACCATAGTTTAAAAAAGTGTTAAAAAAACTGTCTCTAAATCCCTTAACACGAATTCAAAAAATCCCTGTCTCTTGAAGAGAGCTACTGTAGTATAAATCTCTGAACATACCTGTCTGTAGTGACTACATTTTAGTGAAGTTGCTGTTGCTGGCATTGGGAACATTTCCTGCTTATCGATTAAAAAAGGCAGGTGGTGACAGTTTAAAACTTTAATTGTTTAGTTAACTTAACCCAGCAACAATTGCTATCAGGCTGCTGGCACCTAGATTGTGGTCCCACAAGCTGGAGAATCTTTGTGCAGGGTGAGGCTGAGAGTGTCATTAGTGCTTATCAGTGACAGTACGGTGTGAGGTCGGCCAGTCATTTGTCATAGGATGGGGAAAAGGGCAGTGGTCTGACACCACGTTTGTCACACTGGAGTCCACATTTTCTCAGATAGAGGGGTACTTTAAAGCATCTCCAAGCAATATCAGCCACATGTAAGGTACAGGAATATAAAAATGTAAAAAGGTGTAAGAATTCAATTGGACTTTAATTATTTGAGCTGCCACCAATTAATGAGGACTATATTTACACAGTTTCAGTCTATTCAATAGCGCATTTTTTCATCTGATAAAAAACAAAACAAAAACAAAAAAAACCCACAGAAACATATCTGTAATGGACAATATAGCAAAAACTAAGAAGCCTTAGGATGAAGAGGAAAACACCTGGCACAAAATATTTTCAGCAGTTGGAACATTGCACTTTTCTGTAGTTCTTTCTATATATTCTCATCTTTTCACAAAGATAAGGAGCAGGCATTCGAAGAAATAAGTGAAGAGTTAAGACTCCAGAGAGACACGCACAACTGAATTTTGTCAGGTTTCACCTAATTGTCTGTCTCTGAAATGAGCGTACTAGCTGTCTTCTGTTCTCATCTCTTATATTCCTTTATATATTGCCCGAAGGCTACCTAAAAAAAAAAAAAACAGCTCAGTAAGGCTAACTTTCCTTTACACATATGATGAAGCCTCTGCACTTTTCTGACATAGTAAGCATGGCGTCCATAATCCTCTAGCTATTTTTCCTGTACTGAACTTACAGTTGCCATCTCATCTCTTTAAAACCGAGCACATATTAATTCCACAGGTTCTGTTGCTGATTAAAGTTGTAATTAATCACTTGCCTACAGGGCACTTTTTCCCCCTTCCTACCCAGGCCAATTTTCAGCTTTCAGCTCTGTCACACTTTGTATGACAGTTGCACCGTCATGCAACACTGTACTCATATGACATTTTTATAATCCTTTTCACACAAATAGAGCTTTTTTGGTGGCATTTAATCACTACTGGGTGTTTTATTTTTTTTTTCCAAACAAACGAAAAAAGATCTAACATTTTGAATGTTTTTCTTAGTTTCTATTATAAAATTTTGCAAACAAGTACTTTTTCTCCTTCACTGATGTGCGCTAATGAGGATGCACGAATGGGCACTGATAGGCAGCACTGATAGCCACTGATGAGGTGGCACTGATAGGCTGCACTGATGGGCACTGATGAGATGCCAATGATGGGTATTGATAGGTGGCACTGAAGGGCACTAATAGGCAGCACTGAAGGGCACTGATAAGTGGCACTGATGGGTGGCATCAACTGACAGCACTGATTGGCACTGATTGGCAGCACTGATGGACACTGTTGAGGCTGCACAGATAATCGTGACATTGAAAATTGGTGCCCTGATTATCAGTGTAGATGTTCACTTTCACACTTGCCAGTTATCGGCAGTACTTTCCTCACGCTGTAGCAGCATGAAGAAAGTGTTGCCAATAACTGACAAGTGTGTGTACATGGGAATCAGCTGCAATTGGACACAGCTAATCACGTGGTAAAGGGCAGCTGTGATTGGCTCTTTACCGTGATTTGTGTTTGAAGGACAAAGCAATCACAGAAAGTGCCAAAAGCAGGGGTCGGTTCTAGGAAGACATCAATAACCGCTATCCTAGAACTGGACGACTGCTGTAGCCTTCACTTGGCTATAGCACAGTTGGCAAGCGGTTAGACTAACCTAGTGCCTGGTCTGCATTAAATGAGCCTCAGAACCTGTATAATGATTACACCTTTACATGGACCACCTCTTATACACTATATTGCCAAAGGTATTGGGACACCCCTCCAAATCCTTGGATTCAGGTGTTTAAATCACCTCCATGGCTACAGGTGTAAAAAATCAAGCACCTAGGCATGCAGACTGCTCCTATAAACATTTGTGAAAGAATGGGTTGCTCTCAGGAGCTCATTGAATTCAAGTGTGGTAACGTGATAGGCTGCCACTTGCAATGAGTTCATCCGTGAAATTTACTTGCTACTAAATATTCCACGGTCAACTGTTCGTGGTATTATAACAAAATGGAAGCAACTGGGAACAACAGCAACTCAGCCATGAAGTGGTATGTCATGTAAAATGACAGAGCGGGGTCAGCGCACAGTGTGCAGAAGTTGCCAACTGTCTGCAGAGTCAATAGCTAAAGGCCTCCAAACTTCATGTGGCCTTCAGATTAGCACAACAACAGTGCATAGAGAGCTTCATGGAATGGGTTTCCATGGCTGAGCAGCTGCATCCAAGCCTTACATCACCAAGTGCAATGCATAGCGTTAGATGCAGTGGTGAAAGGCATGCTGCCAATAGACTCTAGAGTAGTGGAGATGAGTTCTATGGAGTGATGAATCACACTAATCTGTCTGGTGATCCAATGGATGTGTCTGAGTTTGGCAGTTGTCAGAAGAATGGTACTTGCCTGACTGCATTGTGCCAAGTGTAAAGTTTGGTGGAGGGGGGATTATGGTGTTGGGTTGTTTTTCAGGGGTTGGTCTTGGCCCCTTAGTTCCAGTAAAGAGAACTCTTAAGGCATCAGCTTACCCAGCCATTTTGGATAATTTCATGCTCCCAACTTTGTGGGAACAGTTTGGGGATGGCGCTTTCCTGTTCCAACATGACTACGCACCAGTGCACAAAGCAAGGTCCATAAAGACATGGATGAGTGAGTTTGGGGTGAAGGAACTTGACTGGTCTACACAGAGTCCTGACCTCAACCCGATGGAAAACCTTTGAGATGAATTAGAGCAGAGACTGCGAGCCAGGCCTTCTCAGTGTCTGATCTCACAAATGCACTTTTAGAAGAATGGTCAAACATTCCCATAGACACACTCCTAAGCCTTGTGGACAGCCTTCCCAGAAGAGTTGAAACTGTTATAGATGCAACTCCATTTTAAACCCTATGGACTAAGACTGGGATGCCATTAAAGTTCATGTGCGTGTAAAGGCAGGCATCCCAATACTTTTTGCAATATAGTGTATGTGTTCAGTTTTGTCTAAATTGTCCTAGTTTCGTCCCTGGCCATGTGGGATTTCCTGCATGGTAGGGGTTGTGGAAAGACCTGCCAACCTACCCTGTAAAATAATTGCTGAAAGAATTCATGTAAAAAGTCGCTTACGTGTGATGGTCCATGCAATCGCCAAGGGTCGGATACAACTGAATGGATAGATAGATAGAGTTCAGTTTTAAATGGGTGAGGTGGCAACCCTAACTCTATTGTATCTCT